GGGAATTGTAGAAATTGATTTTGGAAAAAAGAGGTAATTATAACTCTTTTGCAAATTGAGAAAGACCTTTAGGTAGAAGTTGAAAACCTTTGAATATAATTGTTGTTGTTGGACTTATTGCCTCATAAGAATTGGATAATTGTATTACGTTTATTTAATACATATTGTTTAGGGGTTTTGTCCTTGGTCATCGGTAGAGGATAACATTGTGATGTTGAAATGATTATGTGTACGTAGTACACTCGAGTTATTTATGCTTGTTGTACAAAGTGATGGTTGGAAAATGTGCATGCGCTGAGAGTATGAGGTACCAGTACCTTCCAGCTAGCGCTTGGAGAACTTGACCGCGCTGAGAATAAGAGGTACTAGTACCTTCCAGCTAAGGCCTGCAGAACTTGGTCGTGCTGAGAATAAGAGATACCAGTACCTTCCAGCTAGTGCCGGAGAACTTCACAGAGGTACCATTACCTTCCAATCGATGTCTGGAAAATTGGCATTTTGTTGAGAAAAGATGTACCGTTGGCTTACCGTGCTTAAGGCAGATAAAGCAGAGTTATTTATTATTGTTGTTACAGTGTGACTATGATATGTCATGTGTTATGATGATTGTGGTTCTGGGAGACTGAGTTGTCTTAAGAGTTGAGTATGTAGTGGTTGAGTGTGTGTTGTTTTCACCTCTTGAGCTAAATGGTTATGTGTACACGTGGGTGTATCAAATTGATTGTTGATAGTATTTTCCTTAACCTTGGGTTTACGGCATGGAAATGTGATGAATGTATTTATGCATTGAGGTTGTAAGAAACAAGGAAAAGAAAATCGGATCTTTGTGATTTGTTTCAAAGGCAAGGCGATTATTATGTAATACTTTGTTAAATATGGGAAAATGAGAAGTAAATGTGAACTGGTTGTGCTGTTGAATAAATCAGATGATTTTGAGAAAAGTATCTATGTATGTGTACTTTGGTTATAAACCGTCACAATATGTATATGATATGGTGTGAAGCATTTATAATCATAGCTATCTGTACTTTGTGTTCATCCCAAGTTGCTAATTCTTTTCAGATGATGTTAAGAAGTGCTCGAGATTGAGGATCATCCTTAGTTGTCGGCCACGGGGCCTTTTTATTTGTGGGCGGAATGCCGTTATTGTAAAAGGGTTAAACCATTTCTTTTACTTTTAAAAATGTAAGCCTATGGACAATTTATTTAGTTATACTCCTGTTGCATTCATTTTGTATTCGGATGAGGGAATCTTTATTTATTCTTTCTCATTGATGTAAAGAGTTTTCGCATGTTATCTCTGAAATTGAATTAATTTGATGATTTTGGTAATGGATTCTGAGTAATAAAAAGTGAGACGTTACAAACAATACCATTTGAATAAGAGAAAATATATGGTACTTTCGAGGCACGGTTAGGTGATTACCAAAAGTTTTATGTATGTGGAGAGGGTGGGGCCCCAATTTATATTGGAGCATGAAGCATAATGCTGGGTGATTGGTGAATAATATTGTCATGTATTACACTTGTAACACCTAACAATTTTTTATTAGCACGTAATGAATTGTTGCTTCTCAATGCCTTCCACCTTTTAATAAGGGTAAAACAATCATATATACATAAATATTTTGAAAATAGGACTTTATGTGTTAAAAAAAAGTAAATTCTATTTACACCTCAATTACTCTCAGTTCACACCATTATTTATAATATTTTAATTACAATTTTATCCTTTAATCAAATATCCAAATCGCTCTCATCTTTATTTCATCCATTCATCAACAAACCCTAACCTAACCTATTGACAGCCACCACCAACGACCAACCATCACTGATTGGCCAACCACCACCATCAGAAAGTCATCTTTATCATTGTTGTCGTCGTTCTCCTTCTTCTTCTTTCATTCCGTCGTTGCAGCATCACCACCCTCCTTTGCAACTTTTTTCTGTTACTCTGCCATCACTGCCATTGCCGCTTCGCCTTCCCAGTCCATCGCTGCCACCACCATTCCTTAATCACCACCATTACAATAACCTATCACCATCGTGCCTCTCATCACGTAAAGACCACCACCATCGCAACTCGGGTACATCTGATAACCAACCATGTGTATTCCGTAGAGAGAGATTTGTGGAATTGCGATGACTGTGCATCGCTTCAATGAGGGTTGCGATGGTGGTATGGCAGTGGTGGTAGGGGCGAAGACGAGGGTTGCGACGATGAGGGGAGAGGGGTAGAGGTTGGTGGCTAACGACTAGCGATGGACAAGGTTTTAGGTTAGGGTTAGGGTCGGAGACGATGAGAATAATTTGGTATTATTTAAAAATTAGTGGTGTGTCTTGAGACAAAATTAAAAACTTTCATTTGTGTGTGGTGTGAATTGAGCAAGTGATGTGTACTAAAAGGATTTGTGGTGTGTAAATAGAATCACCCTAAAACAAAAATGAGGACTTAATGGAATATGAACCTTTATCAATAGGACTTTTAGATGATTAACCCTACAAAATAAGACTGTAAAACTAATCATTTCAAAAGTTCTTCCCAAGAATTCTAAGTAAAACAAAAACCTTATAAGTTATAAAAATCTCTTTGGAACCACTACTCAAACGAGTAAAGATCTTCTGTAGTGTTTTTCCTTGTAGTGTTTGTGTAGTGCACCAAAATGACGTCGTTTTGGTGCTCATACCAAAAAAAAAATGAAACGAAACGAAATGTAAAAGAGAAGAAAAAGCTAGAAAGAAGAAGACCCACAGTGCAAACAAAGCACTTTTTCACCTTCCTTTCTCTCAATTGACTACCATGACCATTTCTGGCAATCACCTCTCCTTTCCCATTCTCTCTCCTCTCTCTCCTTTCCCAAAATCTGCTATTAAAATCTCTGGCGACCCTCCGCCTGCGAGATCCACCTCATCTTCCCACTGTAGACCCACCCCTACCAATCCTTTTTCAATCTCAACTCCGACAAGCCTCTTTAACCCGTTTCTACCCCCACCCGCCCCTGCTCAGCCACTATTGCCGCCACAAGTTCTCTCTATCTCTATTTCAATCTCGCCAATGCTAGTGTTAGCGAGGGTAGTAGGGTGGTCAGATAGTGGAGGGGTAGTATCAATCAAGCACTTCTCTCTCTCTCTCTCTCTCTCTCTCTCTCTCTCTCTCGCGCGCGCGCGCACGCCTATAGGTCTTCTTTCTCGTGCTTCTATGCTTTGCTCTTGCATTTTGTTGCAAAATTATTTTTTTGGGGGTGTGCAACAAAATGACGTTAGTTTGGTTTTGCATGTGGCATTTATCCATGCAAAATTCTAATGGTGAATGACAGCGAGACCACATTCTAACAAAATTAAAAATATAGGGTTTAAATTGAAAATACAGTGACTAAACTGACATTTCATTTAAACTATATGGACTAAATTGAAAATACACCTATAGGTCTTCTTTCTCCAATGTTTGACCCTTGTAACAATATAAACTCTGAGTTTTCAATTTTATCAATTTAAATCATAATCTTTTAATCTGTTTTTAATCTAAATCATTTGTTTACTTTTGTTAACTAAAAATGATCAGAACAAAATAGTATTTTAGTTATTAAACTCAATGTAGGTACATAAAATGTCCAAAATACCCATTTTCATTGAGTTTAATGACTAACATATCCATTTTTCTATCAATTATACTTAACAAAAATAGACAAATGATTCAGATTGAAAACAAATTAAAAATTCAAGTTTTAAATTGACAAAATTAAAATTCATGGTTTATTTTGTTACAAGGGTCATTTGTGTGTGTGTGTGTGTGTGTGTGTGTAATTTCCCCTAAATTCTTCCATCCAAAATACAATCTTAGTATTTTTAAATAAGAAACTTACGTGCAAGTTTTAATATGTACACTTATTGTCCAATATGTCCTGTGAGAATTAATAGCATTTTTCATCAAACACTGTTTAAAAAAATCACTAATTGTTAATTTTCAGGGACAGTTTGAAAAATTTGTCACAAAAAAATTGTTATAATTATAAGTTTTAACGACAGTTTAAAAAAAATCATCATAAAAGAAGTGGCTAATTTTTAACTTTCAATGAAAGTTTGAAAAATTAGTCACATAAAAATGTCATTAATTGTAAGTTTTAGCAACAATTTATAAAAAAAACATAACCAAAAAAAAGTCACTAATTGTTAATTTTTAGCGACATATGCAAAAAATAGTCATAAAAAATTATTTTAGTAACGATTTTACTAGGACTTATTTTCAATAGTACTTGATAGGAATTAAGGCCAACTATTAGGACCAATTGGTATTTTACCCTTTAAATAATTTGGTCAAAGTTCGCAAAATTATAGCCCAATTCATATTAGTTTAGCTAAATTTTTAGTCAAAAGAAATAGGGCAAATTATACCTATAGTCTCTATACTTGCCTCTCATGTCAATTTGGTTTCTGTAATATGAATTTTGCCCTCTAATTTTTTAAATTGTGTCAATCTAGTCTAAGTGATAATAGCCGTTTAAAAAATTGAATAAAAATCAAAGGCAAGATGAACTATTAAAAAGAGAACGAATCATTTCAAATTGGATGCAAATCCTTCAATAACTTTGAAGGGAATTAAAAAAAAAAACCATTTTATCTCTTAATTTTAGTCCAATTTCTAAATGAAATATTATCAATTAGACTAAATTAATACCATGTGCAAAATCAAAAGGTAAAATTGATGAAATTAAAATTACAATAACCAAATTGATATAAAACAAACTAGAAGAATTAAATGTAATTTGTCTAAAGAAATAAGACGCATAAAAAGAGAAATTTGTTCCTAAATACTAATTAATTTCAAGTGTAGTTTGACGTTCTTATTTTTGCATCCAACAACATATTCAATCCAAAATATGTTGTGTTCTCATTATAGCCCAAAAGGTCAAATGAAAATAGCAAAATAATAACTAAATTTATAAACGCCCCACAGCAATGAAGCTTAAATAAATAAATAAGCTTAAGTCAAAGAAGCATACCTTATTGAAGAGAGGTTGAATAGTATTGTAATTGCTATCCGAAGCATTACAAAAACTACTGAGCTTTGGCATCTGGCTGAGTGTTAGCTTGTTCAATTGCAACAGCTCAATTCCATTCATAGCCTTGCAGATAGCAGTAAAAGTTGGCAGGTCTTGGAGATACAAGTCCTCTAGTTTAGGAAACACAATTTTATCTGTTGCTTCTATTGTTGTTGATGCTATCTCAGTTTGATCTCTTTCTTCTTCACTCGAAATAAGTACTTCCAACTTATGACATTTAGATACACGAAGTATCTCTAGTTGCATCAGATCTCTAGCTATGGATAATGAGAACATGCTTTCCAGTTTATCACATCTCTTCAATTCTAGAAAAGTGAGGTTGCGAAGCCGTACAAGTTGAGAAGGACCCTTCCACAAATGTGTCGATGCGGGCACGTCCCATAGTTTCAGCTCTTTCAACGCATTGAAGGCCACCTGTAATGCTCCAATTTTCATAAAATTCGATGAAACAAATCAAACCCATATTCCTTATTTATTTTCAAATCAAATCAAATTAACATGTGGAAGCCAAAAATCTTATCAAGATTCAACAATAATCATATACAAAATAATTCTCTTTTCTTGTTATACTTCATTACATTATAGTTTGAGATTTACAAAAGAGATTACATACGATTACGCATTCACAATTTCCAAAGCATGGATCTATAACATGTGATATAATACTACATAATATCCAAAATTTAAATGCCCTAATGGATTACAAGTTACAATGGTTAGAACCCTATTACAAAAAGAATGGGTCTCTACCCAAACATATAAACAATGCTTTACAAAAATAAGCAAACAGAATGAAGGAGCATTCATGCTCCAAAAATCACATCACGAGCCTTCAACGAGGCGAAGCCAAATCACCAACAACTAAAAATGATTTTCCATGAAGGGATGAATACTAATGCCCAGTAGATATAATATTAACAATGTATATGAGATTAACAAGATTATGATCATGAATGCAATGATGTGTGCTATGCTTAAAATAAATGCACAATGCACAACTTTCAAAATAATATTCATTTCAACATTTTCATTTCAAAACATCGGGCCAGTAAGGCCTTGTTCGGCAAAGGCTAAAATTGGGCTTTTTAGGCTAAAATTCATAAAAAGACAAAGGTTCAAATAGCCAATAAGACAAAATGTCACATCAAACCCATAATCATTTCACTTTTTCTCTCACAAACACCACATCTAACTACAAAAAAATCCAACTATCTTCTCAAACACAAAAATTTTAGCCTACTAAAATAGTCAAAAACTAAAACCTACTAAAATAGCTAACTTCCCAAACAAGGCCTAAATAAGACATTGGAATTTCCTAGTACGTGTCTGCAAGTAGGCTCTCACGCACTACCAAATACCACTTTAACGGCTACTAACTAGAAGGAAATTGATACCTATTCCGCTCGTGTTTTAGGACTTTTACCATGACTCTCAAACCAACTTAATTCTCAAATCCACAATTACATCCCCTATTTAGATTTACCACGTTATCAACATTTCCAATATTTTCAAAATAATAGCACAATCTCTATGTAAGGCCATGGAAGTGTAATGGATGCAAGAAAAGTAATCTGTAACAAAATATTCCAATAAGAAAATATATTTAGAGTATACCTCAACATTCTCAATGATTCCAAAATAGTATGGGATTCCAATAAACTCATCAGTTACTCTCAACATATATCCCATATTTCATAATTTCTATTATTTCCAATAAATCCAATAAATTCAAGATAACTAATATCTCCAAGAAAATTCACAATCTCTATAATAAATCACCAATTTTCACATTATTCCAACAATTTGATCCTATTCAAAATCACATTTTTCATTTCTCAAATTTTCTAGGGTTTGAAAAAAATTTAGAGTTTTCTCAATTTAAATATAACCAAAGTTTTAAATAACGGTGGCGGCTACTGAAATGGTAGCGGTAATGCGGACGTGGTTGCTGGGTGTAACTTCCGTTGTGTAACAATGGCGGCAACTGGAGCCGTGAATTTTTTAATTCTTCGCACAACTGTAAGAAAGCATACCGATATGCATGTTTTTATTTCAGAATCACATTTAGTGAGGCTCAAAATGATTTTTAGTATTTTTGTTTAGTTTTAAAAAATGATCCAATATATATACTAATTTTTATATTAGTTTTAAGTTGCTCTAAAAAATTTTCCTATTGTTGAATTTATTTAATTTTTGTTACTTTACTAATTATAATTATGGATAACTTTTCCGATTTGTTAAAAAAAATGAATATATAAAACAATAGTCTCACAAATAGAAATTCAAAATACAAAATGTCAAACATAATAATGTAAAAGTACGTAACATGAAATCTAAATTTTGTTCAATAAATTTAATATAAGAAAAATATATTAAGTTCATATTCAAATATAATTAAGTAAAAAAGTAATTAAACCCTGTAGAACTTGAAGATTGGACATTCAAAATATATATAGATAAGATTTTTATTTAAGTTCTACGTAACTAGAAAATAAAAAGAGAAAATAGCAATATACGCTAAATTTATATAAAAATAATATATATATATATATGTTTAATGGCTGTAACAATACTGTAGCGGCAATGTAACGGCTGCTACGGCCTTTACGTAACGGTGGCAGCCGTTGCGGTCATGAATTTTTGTCACACCACTATAGCGGTCATAACGGGTAGCGATAACCACTACAATCGTTACATAACAACATTAGTAATGGTTGCGGTTGCTTTTTAAAATCTTGAATATGACACTTTGAAATTTATATACCATATATCATTTTGGGTGGAGAATTTTAAACATCTGATAAAATATGAGCAAATCCTAATTTTTATACAATATATATATATAGTAAAAAACCTCAATTTCTTCAAAATCATAACTAACAAAATACCACACAATCAAGGTAAAACAGATATACAAAGAGGAGAAGAAAAGTCTCAAAATCAAATGCATCAAAAACACGATCGGCTCAGGTCAATCGAAACCCTCAACACAATCTATATTCCGTATCAAAATAGCAAGGTGAGATTCTAACTCTAGATATGGTGGATCGAATGTTTTGTGTGATAATAAAAAAATTATTTAAAAAAGGGAGAGACAGAAGAAAGGAAGAGAAAGAGAGACGGACGGAGAAGAAAAAAATGGAAGGAAAGAAAGAAATGATTGGATTTGTGAACTTCACATTATTGGGCAAAAAAATGCCCCTCATTGATCTACACAGCAAGAGTTTCTTTCTTCAGCACCATTCAGCTTGTTTGGTTCCACTGAAATTAATTTTTATTTTTTATTTTTTTAAAAATTAAAATTTTTTGCTTTTTATTATTTTTATTTTCTCTGAATTTTTTTTAATTTTTAGATACACTTAACATAAATACAGCTAAAAAGTAAAATATTTGTGAAAAAAATATTTAAAAAAATTATTAAATACCAAAAATATTTTTTTAAAAATGAGAAAATTCAGTATATTTTTATATTCTTGTATATTTATTGATTTTTTAAAAATATTTTATTTTTTAGATACATCTAAGTAAAGTACATCTAAACATGTAAAAAAAATTTGTTTAAAATTTTAAAAATATTCACTAAAAATTAAAAAATACAAAAAATAAAAAACTCTTTTTTCAAAAAATTAAATTTAGAAATTAAAATCAAACACAGTGATTAGCTTTGTCTAGTTTGATTGCGGGAGGATAAGCAAGTTTGTTTGCTTGATCTCTCTAGTAGTTAATTGTTTGCTTTTGTTTTCTTTTTTTTCTTTTTTCTTTTTTTGAACTAAGCTTTTGTTTTCTTGGCTTGGGCCATATCTTACCACAAAAATAAATAAATAAATAAATTACACTAACACCCCTAAGAATTATGTTTAATACAAATCCCTTTCTCACATTAAAATTATATTCTTCTTCCTGAGATTTGTAATCTCATAACAAATTACCCCTTAAATTGCTGCTGTTATGCTCTAAAATTTTCTAAATGACCATCTTGTCCTTTTTCTTACCATTTTTTCTTCTTATAATCATGACTACATTCTACAACTTTTTATTATTAAATTCTACTTAAACATATTTTTATTCAGTGATAATATACAAACATAAAGTTTATATAGAATTATCAAACACAATGATAGTTCACCTTTCACTTTAAAACAAAACACTCATAAACATGATTTTTTTTTGTATAAATTTTTATATATGAATATAATTTTTTATTTTTATTTCCACCGTTATACTTAGATTAGATCAATTTAATCTAGATATATTTAAAAAGTATAAAATTTATATAAAAACTCAAAAAAAAAAATCATAGAATACAACAAAATAAGATAATGTATTGAATTTTTGTTTTTTCATTTTATTTTTTTGTAATTGGTGAATTTAAAAAAAATCGCAAAATATTATAATTCTTAAGTATATCTAAATTAGGTGTATCTAAAAAATTTTTAAAAAAAAAATTGCTTAAAATGTTTTAAAAAATTCAGTAAAAATAAAAAAACTTAATTTTTTATGTGAGTTAAATCAAAGAAAATGATTGTTATTTTCTTTGAAATGACATAAATAAAATATCTGTAACATTTTATTATTTTATATGTATAAAGGTTAAAGGACAAATATGTCACTTTAATTTGACAAGAAAATAAGTGTAATTTTTCAAATATAAGAAGATCTGTATTAAACAGTAATATCAAGAGTATCTATAATTTAGCCAAAAAAAAAGGGAGCACCCCACGTGGTCTCTGCTCTCCCATCAAAACTTTATTTATTTATCAATTATTATTATTTTTTATAATATCTATCTCAATGTCTATATCTATATGTACCTATATATATATATAATAACAAATACAATTTTAGTAACACTATAATATTGTGACATAAACAATAAAATGGTATAATTGTTTCCTCATTGCAAATTATATTTTGTTTGATGGTACACATTATAAATATCCATAACTCTCTCATAGTAGTAAATAAAAAATAATAATAATAATAATAAATCTAGAGAGCCTCCTAATTTTATTCGAAAATTTATCATAATCCACTTGACACAAGCTTGGGCACCATTTCATTTAAAAAGAAAACAAATAAACAAACAAACAAGGTGCTCCATAAGATTTTTTTTAATTTAACTTCTTTTTTTTTTCTTTTCGTTTACTATAAACAAACTTAGATCTCTTCGTCTGCGCATGGGATACATTATTAGATAAACTTTATTTGGTTGCGTTATTTTTTACTTATTTTTAATTAATTTTTTTCAAAAATTAAAAATTAGTTTGATAAAAATAATTACCAAAATTAAAATTTTAAAATTTCCAAAACTATTTTTCACCCAAAAAGAGAACCATATCAAAATAATGAGTTTTTTTTTTTTCTTTTCACCAAAGTAATTTTTGATTTTTTTTTCAGAAAAAAAATTATGAAATTTGAATAAGGGGTTTATTAAATTTTTAATGGTAAGAAAAGGCAAAAAAAAATGTTGATATTTAAAAATAAATTTATTCATTTACATATTGTTCTTTGCAAAGTAGGGTTGTAGCACAAGTTCCAAAAAAAGTTTAAAAACACATAAATTACAACATGTGATGCAATCTTCTCAGGTGATAGGTCACATCTTTTGTAAATTTCGTACTTACATAAATAAATAAATAAATTATATTTTCAGTTCTATAATTAATTTTTGTACAAGAAAAAGAATTATTCCTACTAAACCAAAAAAAAAAAAACAAAAAGGCGTTTAAATAATTAAAAAAAGGGCTTTACGGTGCACTTTTTTTTGTTTTTTTCTTTGTTTTTGTTTATTTATTTGTTTGCTTTCGAATAAAAGAATCCCCACGTTAAGGTGGCTGCCATGTGGATTATGATAAATTTTCGGATAAATCTGAGAAGCACTTTAGACTTATTGACAATAATAAGTACAACTTATTGACAATAATAAGTGCAACTGGTAATTATAAATGAGTTGTGACTCAATTAAGTTCAAAAATAAATAAAATTTCATAATTTAAAATAATTTATTAAGTGAGACTAGAGTATGAAATAATTTTAAAAGGACTCAAGGTGATCCCACTGTTTATATAATTAAATATGTGCCAAAATAATTAAGTGTAGACTAATCAAATAAAACTCAAAAATTAAATTTATATTCAAATCTAGTATCATTTTTGAACGGAGATTTAATACTCAAGAATAATTAAAACTAAAAAAAAAAAAAAAAACTGTCAAGTGGGCCTTACGAAGTTGAAATAAAAAAGTAATATATTTTATTTTTATCAATTTAAATAGAATGGTCAACCATATAACAAACATAATTAAGCAATTTAGAAATTCATATCAATCTAACTCTAAATAATACCCGAACTCAAAAACACACTAAAAAAATTATTAAACAAGTATCGATAAAAAAACAAATTGAGTTTAGATTCAACTCGTTACAATCTGAAGTCAAAGAAGCATACCTTATTGAAGAGAGGTTGAATAGTATCGTAATTGCTATCCGAAGTATTGCAAAAACTATTGAGCATTGGTATCTCGCAGAGTTTCAGCTCGTTCAATTGCAGCAACTCAATTCCATTCATAACCTCGCAGATAGCAGTAAAACTTGGCAGGCTTTCAAGATACAATTCCTTTAGTTTGGGAAACACAATTTTATCTGTTGTTTCTGTTGTTGTTGATGCTATCTCATTTTGATCTCCTTCTTCTTCACTCGAAATAAGTACTTCCAACTTATGACATTTAGATACACGAAGTATCTCAAGTTGCATCAGATCTCTGGCTATGGATAATGAGAACATGCTTTCCAGTTTATCACATCTCTTCAATTCTAGAAAAGTGAGGTTGCGAAGCCGTACAAGTTGAGTAGGACCCTTCCACAAATGTGTCGATGCGGGCACGCCCCATAGTTTCAGCTCTTTCAACGCACTGAAGGCCACCTGTAATGCTCCAATTTTCATAAAATTCGATGAAACAAATCAAACTCATATTCCTTATTTATTTTCAAATCAAATCAAATTAACATGTGGAGGCCAAAAATCTTATCAAGATTCAACAATAATCATATACAAAATAATTATCTTTTCTTGTTATACTTCATTACTGTTAGAAATTAGACGCCCATGTGGCATAACCCTTTGAACCTTTTGAACCTGAACCTTATCCATGTAAGTTTGAATTTTAATTCAAAACTTATTTGGATAACCATTCAAGATATCTATATCTATCATATCAATAGATATGGATAGATAGATATATAGATATTGGTAGTTATATATCTGATTATATATTTTAAATAATATATTGATATATCAGATACGTATATCAGATACGTTATGTGGTTTTTACCCATAACCTTTTTTCCCTGACTCTCTCTCTGACTCTCTCCCATTAAGCAACGATCAAGCCATTCTGCACTATGACTCGTGTGGGTGATACTCATTTTGTAGTATCACTCCACTGCTGGGTTCGTTGTTCAGATTCTGGAAGCACGTGATTTACTCAGGAGGTTCTATCACCTAAAGGTATGATTCTAATATTTTATCCGCTGCATTATGATACTTCTTGATTTACATTGGTATCAGAGCCAATATGGGTATTTTCGTGCTTATTTTTATACATTAAAATATGTGTATATTTTTATATAAATATATATACATGATATATGCATAAATATTAATAAAGGAGGAAGATGTCCACTCTCATTAGATTAAGAGCATAAAATACTTTATTTTTATGTTCGTTAAATGTCATTTTTAATGCCATAAATGTATTTATTTTGGAAAATGGAGTTTGGGAGTACCGAAATTGGACCAAAAAACATCCTGGAAGGCTGCGCGTGGGCCTCACGCGCCACCTGACGCCGTGAGCGGCTTCCACTCACTGACACGCGCCAGACGAGCTTCCGACGCGCCTTCACGCGCTATCACGCGTGCGTCAGCGGCACTGTCCACGCGCGTGCCGTCCGGGCCACGCACGCGCATTATGCGCTAAGCCGCGTGCCGAGCCGCTCACTGAGCCGTGTACTGAGCCACGCCCTTTTTCCTCCGCGGCTTGGCTGCTAGTACTAAGGCGCTGTTTGTTTTGTTTTAAATTCTGAATCGCATTAAATGGTCATAATTAATTCGTTATAGCTTTGTTTTAAGCTTGGTTGGGACTGTTAGACTCAGAATTAAATTTTCTATCTTCTGTAAAATTTTCAAAATTTTATGAAAATAAAAAAAAAAATTCCTGAAATAATAATTCATTATTTCTGCTTTAAAATGCATCTGGTGTTGCACGATTAAGTTTATGGGGCTGAATTTTTTATTATAGACTATTGTTATAGTTTACTATTTACTTGTATGGTTGTTGCATTTTACCAGATTCTGGAATATTTATTTCTAATTTTATGTGTGTTTATTAGTTATTTAAAATTCCAGAAAATTTCAGAATGATGTACATTCTGTTATGGCATAATTTGAATATTAAATACAGCATATTGTTATTTTTTGCCTAGAATTTCTAATATGTTGTAATTAGAATAGCATGATTAATTATTTTTTATTTTAATTCCGTTATTAAATGTAACATAACATGTATTGATTGTGAATCTACATTATGATGCTATTGTATGGAATTAGAATATTTTATCATGTTTTTTAGACGTGCCATAGTCAGTGGGAGGTTATTCGGTTGAGAGAAATCTTTGTAGATTAACTCCCGAAAACCAATATTTTGCGCATAAATTAAATTAAATTTTGGATAATTGTCACCTGTGGCGCAAGGGATGATTACGAGCATAGCGGATTTTCGATCTTGCGACTTGTGTAATATTGTCACTATTTAATTTAAATTTTTGTGGCAAGATTATATTATGCTAATCAAATTAATCCCAATGCGAATTTCTCTCTAAATTGACTTAGCTTATGGAAGTTAATTGGTTGACCTAGACTTAGTAGAGATGTTCAAATGTGAACAATGTAATCATATTCTTTAGATGAGCAAAAGTCTTGGAGACTTTAAGTCAGACCTTAATTGAGCCAAAGTAAGGAAATATGACTCAAAGTCACTGTGGTTTTGTTGCCTTGTTTGGCACAATAAAAACTAATGTGTGCGCTATGGTTAGCGGCATGCTACGTAGTTTTGGTTGGCAAGTTTTGGAGTTATGAAATTATTAAGCCCTCAATAGATCTGTATATGATCTTGACTATTGAGCTGAGCGGATTGACTTTGTAATTTGACTTGTAATGATGTTGCATCATTGGATGAAGTAGCATTCAAGAGTCACGTCATCCAAGAAATGTGAGCTTAAATGAATTAGTCATTAAGTGTAAGATGAGTAGCCAGTATGAGCAGTGTTTTACTCTTTATCCAACTGTTGGGAGTGGATGGAGCAATATTTCATGCATTATAATAGTGTGCATTAAAGTATCACTTGAAGTTAAAAGATTAGCGCTTAGTAGCAGCAAAATCTATTAACACTAAGTGAAAAAATTAGCGACAAGTGGCTGCAAAATCTATTAGCATTGCCAACTTGTCTATGTCTGGACACTTACTGTTTCCACACTTGAGTGTAAGACATGGGGAGGTGCTTCTTTGTATGGTTCCTTAGCTGGGCTAACGTTTTTTAATAACGTTTACCACTAAGCGCAAACGTTGCAGCATAGTAATGAAAAGGTCAAGGCCGACAAGGTTGTTATGACTCTAAGAATTTGACGCATCACTTGTGAGAGCATTGTATTGAATTAGACTCTTTAGCCTAATTCGCGCTTAAGTTACTTCAGGAGCTGTCATAGATTGATAGCTTATTCTCTCCTTCTTGTGGATAGTAGAATTAATTGCAAGTAACTATGAAGTGAGAAACAGAGATGGCAAGAGGAGTATCGTCATCTTTCAATTAGATGCAGTAAAGTGTATGGAGAATAAAATTAACTTGAAAGTGCAGGGGATTAGCACTTACTAGTTAAATTTGCAACTTACGCGCACTTGGTATCTCCATGACATCCTTTTATGATCTAGTAAACATGAATTAGTCATGAGTCATTACCTAGTTGGGCCTAAACCTTTAAACTTGTCTTCGAGAACTCACACATTAGGATGATTGGAATTAGTTTATGACATTGGACATAAACCGATGGCTTGTTGTACTTAATCACATTAATGAGAAGATGACATGGATGGTTTGAGTAGGCCCTTTCGGGCCCACTCGCTTGTGACACCCTGCTCTGATATGAATGTGCAACTTTGTTCGCAATGGTTGCGCACAAGTAAGTAGGAAAGCCGTAGAAGGTCATTTGCATTGGCGCATTTAGTCCACTATAATATTTGTGACTATATATGTATAAGGGTATGATAGCTAAGCCTCAATCTCGACGCATTTATAGATTACGATACGCATATGAGTCAAGACTATTTGATCTCCCATAAGTCAAAAGTTTTGATATGATTTTTGACATTGCACATATGAGGTCGAGATCAATTAGATAAGAGCTTTTGTGCTTTTAGTTTTGACCAAGGTGGTGAGTATCTATTTGAGTTTTTTTTTAGAAAGCTCTATGAAGAGAAATGGATGCTTAGAAAATTGATTATTCCTAGTACTCAACAACACAATTGTGTAGTAGAGATAAAGAATTAAATATTGTTAATGTTAGGTGGATAATGGCGCAAAATGTTTCCCAAGTGGGAATTGCACTAGTTTGTTGCCTATATCCCTAACTAAGTATCCTCCATATCAGATTTTACACTTCATTTGAGTAATGGGTTAGCAGAGAGCCATCTATGGGCGATCTGTAACCGTTAAGCAGCTTATCTTTATTTTACTTCTCATAAGATTGCGATGTTAAGACCTAGGGTTCTATAGTGCATTATTATATGCTGTCTTGTAAACACATAGGGTCGTGTGGCGCATTATTGTATACGGTCATGTAAACCCTCCGGGTCATGTGCATATAGGTAAGCAGCTTTGTGGTAGTATAACTAAGTCACATAAAGTTTTCTTAGTAAAGGTGACGTGAATAGAGTTTTGGAACTCTATAAGATAGAGAATTCTAAGCATAGCGCTTTTATGTAGCCTAATTGAGAATGGAAAGAAATTTCCAATATTCTAGGGACAGTGGGAGCGATATGCCTATTAATGGATTAATCCATTAGAGAAGAATACTCTACATTCTTAGTTGCGTGGTAGCGAATGTGAAAATTTTCCACGTCATCACTGGGTGATTGAGAGGGAAACATTCATGATTGCTCCGCAAGATGATAAAGAGCCTAGGATAATGCCAAAGGCTCTAGTCCCCTGTTTTTAGAAAGTGGATCAATGTTGCGCAGTTTAAGACAAAGTCTTTGAGGATTAACCATTTTTATAATTTGGTTGACTTTCCATTATGACGCAAAACTGTTATTTTTGACTTGTAAATAATGTTACATCATTGGATGAAGTAACATTCAAGAGTCACGTCATCCAAGAAATGCGAGCTTAAATAAATTAGTCATTAAGTGTAAAACGAGTGTCGCACCATTGAGGAAAGTGTAGACCATGAGAAGACTTCCTCCTGGGGAGTGAGGTTATTTTGACTTAGGCTATGATTGACATAAGTTCGGAACATTGATTTGTGGACATTGTGACCCAACTTTTTCGTTAGAGAATTGGATAAGTAGATCCGTAGGGATTTACTTTCTGCTTTTATGGTAAAAAGTTAGAAGCGCAAAAAGGTTGCTAGTTCCAATAAATCTTTTACAACCTAAAACAGTTATCCAAATAGTGGTTCTTAGATTTCGTCAAGCCATGATAGGCCAACGATGAGCGATGAAGACCACTGAGGCATGATCAATGGTCCAAAAAAAGTTTTTCCTTACTTAGTCATTATGAGCCAGGAATTTAAAGGGTTATCGCCACCTAGGGTGGGCAATCCTCTGTTTTAGATATGATGGGCATGGGTGATGTAATTTATATGCTCAGATG